GGTGAGATTAAACAGTGCCACATGGCGGTTTGGGAGTGTTTATAGAAGCTCCACATGGCGGCTCAGGAGTATTTGTAGGAAGTTTAATGGACTTTTAGTATATAATAACTAGTAAGGTAGCCCGCGCAGTTGCGCGGGCATCTTATTTAAATTTGTTATTAGGATTTTGAATATTATGACTTTGTCTCTCAATGAAAGAATTTGAATGTTCCTTTATAACACATGATTGAAAAAAAAAGTATAAAGGCCGGAAACATGTTAGAAATACATGTGTAAAACAGCGAATAAACAAATTTCGGACAGTAAACGAATTTTGTACAGAGGACATAAATAACATGAATTTTAAAATTTGTTAACCCACATAGATGAAATCATCATCTTTCATTGCATAAATAAACTGCAGTTAACCAAATAACCTTTCCGTTAGCAGCTTGATTTTATCGATCCCATGCGAAGGGAAAAAACATACGCATGCATCTTATTACTATTTTATTAATTTTATTGCTATAGAGATATACCGTAACCTTTTGGATATCAGCTAATCGTTATGTGCACCGTGCATGGATACCTCGTAAGCAATATGATTTAGGGATTAGTAGATAGTGGTAGTGTGGATATATCTCGTAATAATTGATCAAGTATATTGTATACTACATATTAAGCGTTTTAGTAGCTTTCTAAAGAGCTTATCGGAGTAGCTACTCCCTTATCCTATATATCTATAAAGTTCATTCTCAATAAGTGTTCTCAATAAGTATAGTTAATGCTAATTCTCTCTTCTCTCATGAAGCCATAACACCTCAATTGTTTTTAGCCCTTGGATGATTCATCAAGGGTGCAAATTGCATCTCTTCTCCCCAAAAGCCACTCCATACAAATCAACCATTTATAACTTTTGAATAATTGATGAAGGTACAAAATATTCAAGCACATGAAAGAAAATCATATAGTAAATAAGATATTTTTTCTACTACTCATATCTACTATTTTATCACACAATTCTCCTACAGCAATGTGCCGGCCATCTAGTTCATAGTGATAACGTTTCCCGGACTGCTAAACGTGTTATATTTTATCTTTTTCTGATAATTTCTATTATTTTCTCTAATTTATTATAGTACTATGTACAATTTTAAGAGTGTTCATAAGATGTTTAATGGACTGAAACTTTTCTATGTTTATTTTTGCATGGTATCAGTAGGATATGAATTTTTTCATCAGACTTACTATAATGTATTCGTGCAAATTAAAGGACGGTATAGTGATGCAATCAATAGGAATCCCAATCGCACACTTTTTTTACTATAATCCAAAGGAGGTTTAAATTTTTAATTTTAAATCCCAACTATAGTTTTGAGCTGAGTTCAAACTTTTTAACAAAGTATTGCTTTTTGGATTTCACAGAGAAAACAAAACGAAAGAGAGGAACATGGGACCTGCGTGGGTACATACTTATTTACACCTAGAAGTGGGGACTTTTAGAGATAAATTAAATTGGTAGTTTTTTAAGATAGATTCAATGCATGGATAAAACAATGGTCTAGCAAAATAAATGAAAACCAACGGTTAAATGCTGTTTTTCTTAGAATTTATGTGATTTATTATAGCGCCACGTGATAGCTTAGAAGCGTTTATAGGATGCTATGTGGCGGCTTAGAACCATTTATAGAGATGCTATGTGGTGGCTTAGTAGTATTTAGACGAAGTTTATTGGACTTTCAATATATAATTAATAGATAGATGGTAGATTGTCAGTAATAAAACGAATTAAGCTGAGCATAAAACCAACATATATTTTTTATAAGTTAATACATGCAAGGATGCACGCATGCATGTAACCCTCCATGAAGAGGACATGGACAGATGTAACCATGGTGCTTTTGCTCTCAACAACTTATGAAAAAAAAAAAGAACAGATGATGCATATACATGCTTGAGAGGTGAGCAGATTGCCGGATTGGACGTTTTATATGTTAGCTGTTAATTTTTCTTTTCAATCTGTAATTGTTTTTTGGTTTTTTATCTTTTTTTTATTTCGGTATTTTTTATCACTTTCGGATGTATTTTCTCTCATATAGAAACGGTATATTAGAAGTGAGAGATTATATTTTAATGGATCTAATAATCTAATGGTCCAAAATATAGATCCACAGTTTAAGTGTTAGATGTTTCACTTTTTTCTTACAATTCTCTAATTTATTATCGTGTCACATGGCGATGTATGAGCGTTCGTAAAAAGCCACATAACAACTTGAGAGTGTTCGTAGGATGTTTAATAGACTTTTAGTATATAATAGATATATTGTTATACACGATGTTTAATTTAATGGATATTTATTATTTGCTAGCTAGAAATTAAGGAGGCCAAAGTGAGCAAGGAGAGATGACGTAAAATTATTTGCGACCACATGATAGTATATGTTATTATTTTTTGCTATTTGTAGGAGTATTTGTCAAACGATGTATTTCTTATATATCAAAACACATGGCTAATATAGATAAATAGAATATGTTGTAGAAAATTATAATTATTTAGTTATCTAATTATTTTTTACATAATAAATTTATTATCTAAAAATTAGAAGATGGATGGGATGAAGAAAAGAGAGGTTGTGAGGGAGTAACGTACGTACACGTACATGTACGTGAGGAGTGGAGGCCCATGAGGGGAGCGGGAGTGGATGGGATCTTGGTTTATTTTGTTTAATATAGATCTAATGGTGTAAAATAATGGGCCCGCTATATTAAGTGAAAATCAAGGGTGAGATGTTTTGCTTTTTTCTAGAATTTCTTGGATTTCTCTAATTTATTAGAGCGCCAAGTGGCGGTTTAGGAGCGTTTGTAGGAAGTTTAATGGACTTTTAGTATATAATAGAAAAGATAGATAGATATTTACAGAAATATACCATTGTCGCGAAATGAAAGCGCGAAATCGTGCGTTACTGCATGATGTCGCGCGAGGTGTGCGCGAGACCGCTCGGTCTCGCCCAGCGAGTGCGCGAGACCGCGACTTCGCTTACCTAACCCGTGTACTCACGCTATCAATAAATTAATTAGTGTAATTAGCAATTAATTAATTACTATTACTCCTTTAACTAACATCATTAGTAATTAATTAATCGTTAATCACTTGTTAATCGTCCACTGATCATGAGTCATGTCAGGCCATCTCGCAAGGTGATGAAGCGAGACCGCCGGTCTCACGTCCTGCTGTTGCGATACCGTGGCGGATCCGGCGGAATCACGCCATGATTCTGCGAGACCGTGGCAAAGCATCACGTTGTCGTCATTTTCGCTTAACGGCTTAGCGATATCGTTTCGATTTCGCTCTTTCAATCAGCGACGACGATATATTTGTGCTAAAAATTTTACATCTCGGATATTTATAAAAAAGAAATAAATAAATAGTTTACTTTCAAATTTAATTCTTACAATTGCTGCAATCTCGTGGTTCTCCTTTGCTGGTTTTGTTTGGAAAATCTGAGTCCGATCTGTGTCCAATACGGAATCCTCTTCGTTTTCCCTTCTTGTGTCCGACGTGGTGTCTTCCTTGATTCTTCTCTTGTGCTGCCACAATCACGACCAAAATAGAAACAGACTACGTGACCGAGTCCATATCCTATGTTGCAGCCCTTCTAGATCTTAGTCCTGCACGAACCCGGCTTTTCCCAAGCCAGCTACCAACAAAACCGCTCTAGTCTCCACCTTCGGCTCGGCCTCAACGTGAAATCATGCACACCGCCGTGGTCCTGACCTCCCTGAGCTTCACGTACTGCCACCACAAATTTCACTGTTGTCCAACACCTCCAGTCAATTCCATCGACAACGAACGACATCAATCGGACTCGTGCCTATAACAGTACCAAACTTGTAGATTGTACGCCGCTGTTGTAACCATCCATCGTGCACCACCTTGTCGTCAACACATCTCCATCAGCACCAACGATCCACCCACACCGACTTCCGATTGAACACTATTAATCTAGTCGAGAGCCGAAGCCGACGAGTCGTATGCCGTCTTCCCAGCCGCCGAATGACCCGAGTGCCACGTCTAGCCATCTCCCTGTCGAACGCAGCTCATCGAAAGGCCCCGGCCACCCCGCCCAGAGTGTTCGATTCCACCGATCGAGAACGCCGATCGCCTCCAGCTTCAATCAACCCCGAGCGTGAGGCCTCACGTCTCCCTGTTGAAAGTAGCTCACCGGAAAGTTCGAGCCACCTGCCCGCAGTGTCCGACCCATCGATTGGATCGCCAATCGCTTTCGCCGCCATCAACCCGAGCACCACGTCTGGTCATCTCCCTGTTGATTGCGGCCATCGAACGGTTCAAACCGCTGCCTGAAGTGTCCGATTCCACCGATCAAATTCCGTTGATCGCCGCCGTGCTCCACCTTGCGTCCATGCCCGTCCCTGGACAACCTGTGTAGTTATCGCAACGTGGAGCACCTCCCTCGCACCTCTACGATGGATCTCCCGCAGGCTCTGATACCACTTGTTTGAAAACCGGCCCCGAAATCACATTGGAAACCAAACCGCGGAAGAAAATGCCATAGGAGATCCAAACACGATGATGATACCGAGGCACGATATTTGATAACGGAGTTCAGCCGAGGCCTAGATCTCCAGGCACTGATTACGGGCGCTCCTCCCCGATCCAGCATATTACAGCGTATCAGAGTTGTAACGACTCATGGCCGATCGCCGTCGGCAGACGCTCCCTCTCGCTATGCTATGTCGCCATGCAGTTACAATAGGCACGCCCCTCTATTTATGAGAGATCCTAGGATAGAGTTCGAGTCTTACTCTAATCCTATACCTAGTACAACTCCAAGTCATAAACTGTAACCGATTACGTACACATATTCGACACAAACTCTAACAGCCCAAACATATGAGTCACATTTTGAGGAGGTTGTACGTTATAAGCCATATGAATAATCGACCAGACCAAGTGAGTAACATGACATTGGAAGAACAAATGTTGAATGGTTCCGTCCTTATGACAAAAGCAACATTTCTTACTACCTTTCCATTTGCGCTTGGAGCGCAAGTTTAAACATTAGCATCAATCCACAAATATTCAAACCACACGCACAAAAGATTTATCTGTCCACTCTTACAAAAATCTCAGAAACTCTAAATATAATGGCAGGATGACAGATTCACCACCATGGCACCATCCCCAAATAGGAAAACCATTCTTATTGGGTAAACTCAAACAAGCACCAGTCACTACAAAAGCTAAAACAGAACAGCACAAACATGACCGACGACGACGAGCACTTCTGAATAGAGACTAGCTATAATAATTCATAGAAGACTACTCTGGGTCGTTTGGCGTATGTGACCTGCTTCCGCGTCCAGCTAACTCGTAAACGACCACTCTTGGTGTATTGGCGTATTTACCTGCCTCGGCCTCCAGCTCACGCACTATTGACTTGGTGATCTCACCGGCTTTTTCACCGGCCGTCATGTGCACCTCACGAAGGCTCGCGAGGTTATCCATGCCGAAGACGCCTTCCAGCGTGTTGAACTTCATATCAAGCCTTTCGAGGTTGCCCATGGCCCTCTCCGAGAAGACGAGCAATGGCAGGAGCGGCGCGTCCAAGCGGAGCAGCTTAAGGCAGTCGAACCCTCCATGCTTGACCAAGATCTGCCCCTCTGAGTCCGACTTGTTCTTTTCAAGAATGTCCACCAAATCAAGGTCCTTGCTGGATGTCCAGGACGAAAATATAAGGCAGAACATACGAGGTAGCTTCTGAAGGAGCTCCAAGGTATCAGTTCGGAGCACCGTAACTGACAGGGTTAAGTTCTTCAGTTCAGTGAGATGAGCAATCCACCTGGGCACCTTGATGAACATGCCGTACAGCTGGAGGGAATGGAAGTATCTCGGTGGTGAGGTCAGAGAATCCAGTGCGTCGATGAAACCGGAGCACTCATCATTGATCAAGAGATTCTTGAGCGAGCTACCTCCAAGGTATTGGATGGAAGAGAGCAAGGCCTTGAAGCCAGGAGTACCCTCCTGGATTTGTAGCTTGTGTATCCCGAGCTTCCTAAGGGCAGTGTACCCGTGGAAATCATTAACGGACGTCGGCTCCCCAGTGATCTCGATCCCGGACAGGATGTGCAGTGTTCGCAACGGCTTCTTCGTTGCCTCCGCTGGCAACTTGAGTGTTACCTGTGCCATTGTGTTTCCACCGAGTATACTCGTCAGCCGTTCAAGCTGAACGATGGCATCAGGCAGCTTCTGGACATTCGTGTCCCTTATGTCAAGGGTCTCTAAGTACCGTAGCTTCCCAATCTTGGAAGGGATGCTGTTGATGTCTGTTCCTCGGAGGTTGAGATATTTGAGAAGAAGCATCTTGAAGATGTCCTTGACATGCTGCTTCTTGAAGCCCTTGCAGCCTTCCAGGTCCAGCACCTGTACAATGCCGAGCTTGAGCGACATGAAAGGCAGCTGGTTCAAGCTCCCAAACACTGTGACTGATCGGACATGGGACAGGTTCATTCTGTCCATGGTTTCTTTGGCATGCTTCACATCGCTGCTGTGGATGGACAGGCGACGAACTTTATTACTGGGTGTCCGCATGAGCCAGTGCCCGCCAACCACGGTGATAAAGTTCTCCTCGCTGGACTTGGACATGATGTACTCGAGGATCATGTCATGAACCTGGCAGGTCTTAACTTTCCCGTCGCTGCTGTGATCCACAGGCTTCAATATGTTCCTTCGGATGAGCAGATTGAAGTTTGTTTCCGCGCGTTCCTTCATGCTCTGCCCGTGCTCCTCGCTGATAAAGCCTTCCGCTATCCATCGCCTCGTCAACCGCTTCCTGCTGATCCTGCTGTCCTTTGGGAACACGCTCAGGTAGAGCGAGCAGGTCTTGAGGTCTGCAGGTAAGCTGCTGTAGCAGTAGTTGAGTATCCTTGTCATGCCTTCCGGGGTATGGCAGTCCACGGATACTGGAGGCAGGGAGACGCAGATCTCGGCACACTGTTTCTCGTATGCCTGTGGCTTGCAAGCCACAAGACCAGCTATGGTTACAATGGCCACAGGCAGACCCTTGCAGAGGTCCAAGATTTTCCTCGAGACATCAATGTGCGCCTGACCGAGCATCTTGTCACTGCTAGTCATGGATTCAGACACGCTCTCTTGGAATAGCCTCTTAGCGTCATCATCAGATAGACGATCCACATGATGGAGCATGTCTTTCTGTCTGTCAAGGATGCATTCCCCTGCTACGGCTTCGAATCGTGTAGTGACCACAACTCTGCTGCCTTCTTCATCCGGTAGATATTGTCTGATTGTCTGCCATGCTTCGGCGGACCGTACGTCGTCGACCACGAGGATGTAGCTGCCAATCAAAGTTGATCAAATGCAGGAAGTCAGTGATATGCGCGATGACGGAGCATTAGAGCCAAGCTTGTTAGTATTGGGATTCCACGTAGTATTGTTTTTCTTTTAAGTTGTATCGGATTGTATCGTAATATCAGGATACTATGAATTTTCTTTTTTAAGTTTAATTTAATATTTATATTAATTATATATAGCTATTCTATAAAGAAATAGAGTAATAGTAATAGATGACATAAAAAAGAGAGATTTGTCAATAGAAGACCCACCCACTAATGCTAATAGTTTTATTTAACATTGATTTTATAGATACATAAACACAAAAGCGTTCAAATAGTTTTGATTTTTAAATTTGGAAAAAGTACGAATTACCCCTCTGAACTATCACGGTCGTCCGAATTACCCCCCTGAACCACAAAACCGGACATTCTTCACCCCCAACTATGCAAACCGGACGAATTACCCCCCTGGACCCAATCCACGGTGGTTTTGATCTACGTCGCAGTCCAGTCAGCAATTTATTTATTAAAAAATAGGTGGACCCCACCTGTCAGTCTCTCTCTTATATCTCTCTCTCCTCCAAACGGCGACAGCGGAGGCAGCGGCGCGGCGAAGGAGGCAGCGGCGAGGCGAGGCGAGGCGGCGCGGCGGCGAGGCGAGCGCGGCGGCGGAGAGGCGAGCGCGGTGGCGGCGGCGGAGGCAGCGAGCGCGGCGGAGGAGGCAGCGTGAGGCGAGGCGAGGCAAGGCGGCGGCGACGGCGAGGCGAGGCAAGGCGGAGGAGGCGAGCGGCAGCGGTGGCGAGGCGGTTGGCGAGGGGACAACGTCGCCGCGAGGAGGCGAGCGCGGCGGCGGAAGAGGCGAGGCAGCAGCGGCGGCGAGGCAGTTGGTAGGTGCGACTGGTGGCGCAAGGCGAGGCAGCTACGCGAGACGAGGAGGCGGCGCGAGACGAGAAGGGGCGACGTCGTCCCCCAGCCAACCACCTCGCCGCCGCTGCCGCCTCGCCTCCGCCTCGCCTCACCGCCGGGTGGGAGAGGGGAGAGAAGCTGCCGCTGCCGCTCTTACCCGCCCCTGCGCCGCCCTGCCTCGCCGCCGCCGCCTCGCCTCTCCGCCGCCGCGCCTCCTCCTCCGCCGCCGCCACGCTCGCCTCTCCGTCGCTGCCTCGCCTCCTCCGCTCCCGTCGCCTCGCCTCCTCCGCCCCCGCCGCTTGCCTCACTGCCGCCGCGCTCGCCTCTCCGCCGCCGCCTCGCCTCCTCCGCTCCCGTCGCTCAACTCGCCGCCGCCGCCACCTCGCCTCCTCCGCCCCCGCCGCTCGCCTCCTCCGCTACCGCCGCCGCGCTCGTGTCGCCGCCGCACTGCCTCGCCTCGCCGCGCCGTGTGAAGGAGGAGAGAGAGAGATAGAAGAGATAAGAGAGAGAGACTGACAGGTGGGGCCCACCTATTTTTTAATAAATAAATTGCTGACTGGACTGCCACGTAGACCAAAACCACCGCGGATTGGGTTGAGGGGGGTAATTCGTCCGGTTTGCATAGTTGGGGGTGAAGAATGTCCGGTTTTGTGGTTTAGGGGTGTAATTCGGACAACCGCGATAATTCGGGGGGGGTAATTCGTACTTTTTCCTTTAAATTTAAATATTGTCTAGTTTGAAATAATTAGTATCCCAATCCCAACGCGATTCTGATTATCTCAATACTAGCGCGATACCACCCAAAAAAGATCCTAAACCAACACGTATCATTTTACCCGGTTAGTATCGTAGTATCTTACCATACGTATCCCAATAGAGACAATCTTGCTTAGAGCAACTCCAGCAGAGTTGCCAAATGGCTCTCTAAGCTAAAATATGGTAAGTTTGGTGACAATTGCACTCCAACAGCTTGCCAACCGATGGCTCCCCCACTGACCAAACTTGCCTAGCCAGAACCAGCTTGCCAAGCATAGGCCCCACGCGGCCTTTATCCCCCCCTGCCCCATCTCTCTCTCGCCACACTGTTTCCTTCCCCACAAGCAGAGCGCCCGCCATCGGTGGTTGTGCACTCGGGCTGTCTGTAGTTGCGCGTCATAGCCATAGTCAAAGGGGACTCTGCCACCGCTGTATATGGAGGAAGGGGCGGAGACAACGTGGGGGCGGGGGGGCGGTGGGGAAGACCCCCCTACCCCTAATAGACCATTAGAGCCCCCATAATACCCTCTAAAATTTTAATCCATATATTTATAGATGAGGGGCTAATATAGACTTTGTTTGAGGTTGTTAGAAGGACCAAAAGGCTAAGAAGGCCAAAAAAAAAATCCTAACCCAACCCTAAATCTCACTTAGTTGCTCTTGGTCATTTTGGTTTAGCCCCTGCTATAATTTCATCCTAGCTCCGCCACTTGCAGGAGGATTCTACTGCCATTGCCATCATCCGATTTTTGCTGCTGATGTTCGCTCTCCATTTTTCATCTCTGTGAGCTCCAACACCTCTACTCGTGAGCTCTGCCCCCAATCCACGCGTGGGTGGATAGGATAAGCTGTTGCCATCGGTGGCGAGGATGGGAGGGTGTGGCGGTGGGTCGGCTCGACGGTGAGAGAGGGAGGTAAGGAGCGACAGCGGAGTGGCACGCCTTAGACACCGCCTCCACAGCGTTGCCACCGCCTCCCCTGCTGGCGTGAGCAACAACAGCAGTAGCGTCGCCGCCGATGTACCCCATCGTCGTGGTTGGCCTCGTCTCGCCTCGCCCCGTCATCGCCCGCAGTCTCTTGCGTCGCCGTCATCAAGATCCGTGCGCGCCCTGCCATCATTCTCTTGTGCACTAGGGAGAGGATTGGAGAGACGATGGAAGAAGAAAAAGGAAGAGGAGAATGACTGGTGTGGTCCATTGGTATCTAGAGAGGTATGTGGAGAGTTTGTTGGAGCGAAGGGCAAATCTAACTGTAAAATTTTGGCAAGCTGGTCAAATAGGTATTTAGAAAGACAAAAATGACACTCTGTTGGAGATGCTCTAAAGCAATATGCACCCAAACATGTTGTCTCCAACTCTATTGGAGAGAGGTGAGCCCCTGTTGTCATGTCTGCCCTAGACTTAAGAAATTTCACAGTTTTCCCCCGAATATGAACCCAAGAGTAGGAATCTTTGTTTTCTTTTACTTTTTTTTAAATTAATACAGATATAAATTTATAAACAAATATACATGTATATAAAAATTTTATATACGTATAAATTTTATATTCATACGTTATACATATAAACTTTATAAATATACCTATAAAAGAGCTTTGTATTTATAAACTTTATATGTATATTTCTTAATTGGCTAATATAAAATAGGCAAATTTTGCTATAGAACATTGTGCCTTCACGGTTTTAGCTGTAGGACACCGTACGAGTGACTTTTGAGGGAAGACACTCTTAAAAGTTAGATATTTATGGGTGGACATGACACCTATTAAAATAATAATTTCCAACTAAAGAGGAGAGAGAAATTGCGTGAAATGTCAAAAATAATAGTGGACCCACATGTTAGCTCTCCCATGAGATAGACAGAAGAGACATGAGAGGTGACATATGGGTCCTGTGGTATTTTTGATATTTCACGTGATTTCTCTCTCTTTTTCGGCTGGAGTTTATTACTTTAATAGGTGTGGTGTCCAACATCAAATACCTAAACTGTGAAGTCACGATGTCTTGTAGCAAAATTTGCTAATAAAATATATACACTCAAATGTGCATAAAGTTTTCATGTATATATGTTTTGAATTTGTTTCAAAACTTATACTTTTGTATATATGTTACTTACGGTACATCTAGAACGATTGAGAGATAGAAGATATCCAGCCGCGAGCCAGGAGCGAGGCAGGTGGGGCGAGCGCGCCGCGCATTAGAGCAGCTACAATAGTGGACTACAAGCCAGCTATAAACATATTTTAAGGATATAAAATAGGAGAGAAGAGCACATGTGTGTATGACATGTGGGACCAGATACTAATTGTGTAGTACATGTGTATAGGTAACTATTGTATGAATTATCTATAAAATTGACTATAGATGATTTAGAGATAGTAGTTGGCTATACTGTTGTCGAATGACAACTACGTCACGTCGAACAACGTGGAACTTGGATGGATGTTTTGAACAGTAAAGTGATGTATTGTCTTAATAAAATTTTTGGGATCCCTCCATTACATAGCCCTAGGGGGCTATTTATAGCCTTAGTATTGGCTTACACCTTATAGGGTTTATGTTGTATGGGGAAATTTACATGGTTACTCTTATGATAGGGACGTTAACATGGGTACACAGTGTCTTTTGCATCTATGGGCTCTAATGGGCCACTTAGGCCGGTCTGGCCCATGGCTAACGGGTCCCCATGGGCCTGTCAGCCCTCTAGTTCTCCTTTACATAAGACTCCAGCTTGGGTGAAACCTTTGTGCTTCGCGACATGGCCTTCGCCATTCGCCTTTCGCCCATGTGGCCCTCTAGAGCCGAGCCTTTGGTCTTCGCCCACACGCTTCGTCACATGGCCTTCGCCATGTACCTTCGCCTTGGTCGAAGCCGACGCCTCTGGTTTGATCCTTCGTCGGATGGATGGTTTCGGCAGGGTTGGTCGAAGGCTCTCGTGTCATGCCTCCAACATATACTATTAAACTTGCTCTTAGGCGTTGGGATGGGCTGTTGTCATTGATGGCGATTAGCATGGTGGCTCCGCGCAGATTATAGGGTTAGCACGGTTATACTTTTTTCTCAAATAATAGCACATATATTTTCACCTTATATGTAAAAAAAATATTAAAATGGCGGCCAAATTTTAAACTTTGGCTTCCAAACCGGCAAATGTCACATATTCTGACCGGTATAGTAATTCATATGCCGATAAATCAAACATCATGAATCATTTACTATATTTTATTAATAATACAATAAATCAAAGATACTAATATGTGTTATATTTGTTTTCTCTTCTCCCCTCATCTTTATCTTTGTACTATTGGTTGTAATTTCGAGAATGATTAAACTCGGTCGCT